CACGCTTTCCACATGGAACAGATATCTGCCTCAGTTCAACAACACTCCAGAACATATGCTACATAACTAATTGCTTTGCTTCCATCATTTTAAAACAGACGTTTTCTATTCCTTATGGCCACATCCCAAGGCAATTTTGTCTCTGGTGCTCTTCCCTTTGAAGCTGCAGGGCTGAAGGCAGCTGCACCCCACACCTCTTACCACTGCGGACGGATCGGGGACACCGCTGGGAGCCCTCTGCTCGGAGACTTGCTGGGATTTCCTGGGGCGGGAGGGAAAAAAGAGCACAGGGGGGCTAAGAGTGGAAGCAGGTCTGAAGAGGGAAGAAGAGACCCTGCCCCCAAAACACATCTGGGTGCCCCTTTTCCGTGGCACTCCCTCCCCGCCTGCTTGCCCAGTGCCGGCTACAATGATCTTTAGCCACCAGGCAGGGGTCATTTCGTAGAAAAAGAGCTAGGGGGACTCATTAGCATAACTCATTAGCATATGCCACACCCCCTGACATCACCGGAAGTGTGTCCTCCCCACAGCCGGCGGCGACCTCCAGCGGGCACCAGCAGGGAGCTCCAGGCCCCGCCCTCCCGCACCTCACCCGGGGGGATGGCGTCCCCCCGCGTCCCCCCCCCCAAATGACCCCTGCCACCAGGTAAGAATTTGGTGGTTGGTTCACTAAGCTTCTGGTGGAAAGCAATGAACTTGGCAGCTGCTTTAACTTGCTGCCAGTCGGGCTTGGTTTGTTTTACCTTCGACTGGATTTTAAGTCAGCCATCCTGAGAACTCTAATGGGCCAGTCCCAGGTACAAGGAAGCCCCAGAACCACTGCACAGAACCAAATGAAGCGGGGGGGGGCAGGAAGACAGGAGACCGCACTCTTCTTAACCGACCAAAAGGAAGATTGGAGAGAACGACACTTGTACCCAGAGGTCATTTCGGGGGGGAACACGGGGGATCGCAGTTCCCCCGGGTGAGGTACGGGGGGCGGGGCACATGACGAAGCCCCGCCCCCTGCTTCCGGCCGCCCCGCTTCCGGCCCTCATTCAGCCAGGAGGAGGCAGGAGAAGAGGGAGGGTAAGTTGCTTCCTCCCTGCCTCTCCCCACCCCTGCCTGCCTGGGGCCAACACACCTCCGGTGATGTCAGGGGGTGTGGCCTTATGACACACTTCCGGTGATGTCAGGGGGTGTGGCATATGCTAATGAGTTATGCTAATGAGTTCCCCTAGCTCTTTTTCTACGAAATGACCCCTGCTTGTACCACCCTCTCTGTTTCTCTCCTCCCCCGCCCACCACCCTTTCACCCCAGCCATCTCTGCCCCTGTCCAGACTAGCATGCTAGAACTGGAGTTACATGGCAGGCAACCAGGCAACAGAGATCAAGGAAGGCTAGGAAACTGGCAAGTACTTGGAAGGGAGGCCTCCAAGGAATACCAGGGCTGGGATGCAGAGGCAGGCAATAGTAAGACTCCTCTCTGAAATGTCCAAGCCCCACTAGGGGTCACCAGAAGTCAACCATAACTTCCAGGCATGCAAACACACACACAGATACTCACCAAAAAAAGAGGAAGGCTAGGAAACAGTTGAAACATTGTGACACAGCTGGTCCCCATTACAAGTACACAACGTGACTCCCCTCTGGAACTATGGCCCAGCCCAACAGCTTGATTTTGGGAGAAGAACACCCAGGAGTCCAGGGTCTCAGCCTCACCCTGGGGACTGACTCAGGGATGGGCAATTCCTGGAGAGGTGGGCATGGAGCCTGAGGTGGGCAGGGACCTCAGCAGAGTATATTTATTTATTTATTTTACTAGATTTATATACCGCCCTCTCCAGATGGGCTCAGGGCGGTGTACAGCAGTTAAATAATGCCCTAGAGTCCACCCTCCAAAGCAGCCATTTTCTCCAGGGGTGCTGGTCTCTGCAGTATGAAGAAGTGGGCAGTGACTCACGAAAGCTGACACCCTGGCACAAATGTTGTTAGCCTTTAAGGTGCTACCAGACTCTTTTCTACTGCTACATGCAGACTAACATGGCTACCCATTTGATCTATCTCAGAGATCAGTTGTAATTCCAGATCTCCAGGCCCCACGTGGAGGTTGGCAACCCTCCTCTGCTCAGTTTTAACTCAGCAATTGCCATTTCCCTCCAAGACCATCCAGGGGGCTCCTGGGTGACGCTATCACCTCTCGAATGCACTAGAAGGGACCCCAGTGAGGAGGAGACAGCCCAGGAGCCCTGAGTCTCTCCCTCACGTTCAGGAAACAAAGCCAAGAATGGCAGAGACTCCAAAGAGAATCAACCCCCAGGGAAAGTAAGTCCCCAAGCCTTAGCAGCCACCTCTTGGGCCAAACCCAAAGGGGCCAGAGAGAGCTGAAGCCACCCCCAGCAATAGGAAGGGCCGGAGAGCATCCAAAACCTTCCTCCAATAAAACTCCCACCTTTACCTGGCGAAGAAAACCCTGCCTCCGGACCAGAACTGCCATTCCGTAGAGCAGGAGAGGGAGGCCAAAAAGGAGCATGTGTATTGATGTCAGATATATAGGTGAGGGTTGGGGTGTGGCCTTAAGGGGACACTCCCCCTTGGAGGCAGGTCTAAACTGCAAAGCAAGAACTGAGCAATACTTAGGGCTTCTTTTTCCTCCCCAAGGTACCATGGGAATTGTAGTTCAGTATGGCCACAAGGCTGAAATCAACAAGCACTCACAGTGTTCTCACAAAATCCCATTTCACAGACTTCCTTGAGGGAAGCCATGTCAGATCAGTTCAAAACTCGACTGTCTTTTCAGCCATAATAGAATTTTTTTTAATTAAGTAAGAAAAAACAAAGTTGAGATCCTCTAAAGGGGTTGTCAATGTAGAAAAACCCAACTGAATTCAGGCTCAGAGTCCACCCATGATTTTTAAAACTACTAGCTCCATGTTGGAAAATTCCTGGAGATTTGGGGGGCGGAGCCTTGAGAGGGCAAGGTTTGGGGAGGGGAGTGGCCTCAGTGGGAGACAATGCCAAAAAGTCCACCCACCAAAGCAGCCATTTTCTCCAGGGCAACTGATTTCTGTTGGCTGGAGATCAGCTGTAGTTCCAGGTCCCGCCCTGGAGGTTGGCAATGGCAACCCTATGAATTCAGTAGGTAGCTTTGGTTAAATCATTGCCTTTTGGCTCAGGGGGGCAAACAAATATCTTGAACCAGCCCTCAGGAGAAGGGAGAAAGGAAGGAGCTCTTCAGCCTTCCTAACCCAGCCAGCTGCAGGAAGCAGCCGCCTGGGCAACAATGCGTGCCTCCCGTGCTGGGGGTTTTGTTAGGGTTGCCAAGTCTGGGTTGGAAAATACCTGGAGACTTTGGGGGTGGAGCCAGGAGAGGGCGTGGTTTGGGGAGGGGAGGGGCCTCAGCATAGTACAATGCCATAGAGCCCACCTATCAAAGCAACCATTTTCTTCAGGGGAGCTGATCTCTGTCGGCTGGGGATCAGTGGTAAAAGCGGGAGATCTCCAGGCCCCACCTGGAGGCTGGCAATCCTAGGTTTTGTGCAGGTGGCCTGGCCCTGTGTGAGCCCTGCTTGGATGCAGCCCTGCTTGGATGCTCCCTGCCCAATCCCTCTTCCCAGACTGGGGTTGGGCAAATATGGGCAAGAGGCGGGGCTGGGTTCAGAAAAGGTACCAGCAAGGGTCTTGCTCGGCTCTGTGCCGCTTCCCTGCCAGCCATCGTTTAAACAAAACATTCCCAGAAGTGCTGCTTTGTTCCGGAACTCATTTGCATCCTTTGGCCATGAACTCCCCACCTGAAGGCAAATAGCCGGGCTGGGTCCCTTCCGGGGGGGGCCGCGTGGGGGGGGGGGGGGGGGGAGGAAGCCAAAGCAGCTGAAGGTGAAGCTGGGGGGAGGCGGGGGACATGCAGCAGAGTGTCCTTTTGGAAGCTCGAGTCCTGACCTGGAGGACACAGAGTTGGGCTAGGATCCGGGAGCCCCGGCTTTGAACCCCCACTCTGCCATGGAAGCTGGCTGGGATGACACTGAGCCAGTCACAGATGCTCCCCCAAATTAGTGTTGCCAGCTCTGGGTTGGGAAATACATGGGAGATTTTGGGGAGGGGAAGGTCTTCAATGAGGTATGTCATAGAGTCCACCTTCCAAATTGGTTGTTTTCTCCAGGTAAACTGGTCTCTGTCCCCTGGAGATCAGTTGTAATAGTGGGAGATCTCCAGCCACTGCCTGGAGGTTGGCAACCTTAAGCCTATCCTACCTCGGGTAACGTCCAGTGGGGCACCTTTAAGACCAACAAAGTTTTATTCTGGGTATAAGCTTCCGTGTGCACGCACACGCCTTCAGATATTAAGTGGTACCTGAAGGCGTGTGCGTGCACAGGAAAGCTTATGCCCAGAATAAAACTTTGTTGGTCTTAAAAGTGCCTTGTTCTGTTGCTTCTGACCAACACAGCTACCCACCTGGATCTACCTAGGGTTGCCAATCCCCAGGTGCTGAATGAAGAACTCCTGGGATTACAACTGATCTCCAGGCAACAGAGAGAGGTTCCCCTAAAGAAAATGGCTGCTTTGGAAGGTAGACGGTGTGTGGTATTTCACGCCACTAAAGTCCCTCTCGCTCCCCAAACTCTGCCTTCCCCGGACTCCGCCCCCAAATCTCCAGGAATTTCCCGGCCTGGATCTGGCAACCTACTACTTCACAGCATTGTTGTGAGGGTTCATTGGAGAAAGGAGAAGGATGTAAGCTGCTTTGGGTCCCCGTTGGGAATAAAAGTGGGGTATAAATGAAGTATGTAAATTGAAGAAATATCTCCAGACATGTGGAGAGACTGCTTGACTGCCCAGTGGTGAGCAGGGTTACACTCTGTGCGTACTCAGAGGCACTCTTTATTACACTCTGAGTTTTATCCCCGAAAAGGCTGCCCAGGGGGCTTTGCACACAGCATGGCTTTGCAAGTCCAGCGTGGCCACGGACAGGAAGCCCACCCAGTGCCGTCCCTCCTCCTAAAGGCTGTTTGCAAACACCAGCTCGGTTCCCCTTCACTTTTTCAAAAGCACACGTCATACCTTTTAGGGGTTCCACCTTCAAAAATGCCACGTGGGCTTTGGCTCACCTGTACAAACTGCTGAGGGAAGAACCCTGTCCTGCCCTCCAGTTCGCCCTGGAACCACCCCTCTTCCGGGCCTGGATGCACCTTGTAGATGATGTTGCCGGCTTTGATCTTCAACTCATCGCTCAGCTGGCCCTCAAAGTCAACCAGCACCAGGACCTCTGGGAGAATGGAGACAGAGTGGCAGCTGCCCATCACAGCCCTCTCACCTTGTGGGAGTCCGCTCTGATCCAGCCATTGGCCACGGACGTGGGGGCAACATGTTCTGCCTCTCCACAAGCCCTGGTTTGTTCACTTGGGTAAAGGGAGCCATTCTTTACTCTGAGGTATCCCTCCAGGTCTGGAAGCTCAGCAAGTTTTTAAAGATATACAGACACACCCACACACATGCCCGTTGCCACATTCTTTGACTGAGAGTCCCCACCACCCCTTTACTAGCTTGAACCTATGTACAAAAAAGGGGCTGTTTGTCTACAGAGCTGGTAGAAATACATCAAAGCTGTCAACCAAAATTCCCCTCAGTAATATTGCTTGGCCCCAACCTGAACAGCCCAGGCTGGCCCAAGCTTGTCAGATTTCGGGAGCTAAGCAGGGTCAGCCCTGCCAATGCTCCCTCTAAGCTGTGGAGTCTTGTGAGTAAAAATTTCTACTTTGTGAGCTACTGGCATTAAAGTTGTGAGTGAGACATTTGGCTACTGCATACATTCATTTGCTCTGGAGCCACCCTTCCTGAGCGAAGACAAAAATGTGTGAGTCAGAGGCTAAAAGTGAGCCCGTTTGGTGTAGTGGTTGTGTGTGGATTCCCCACTCCTGCACTTGCACCTGCTGGATGACCTTGGACAAGCCATAGTTCTGACAAGAGCTGTCCTTGAAAGGGCAGTTCTTGAAAGAGCTCTCTCAGCCCCACCTACCTCACAGGGTGTCTCTTGTGGGGAGAGGAAGGGAAAGGAGTTTGTAAGCTGCTCTGAGACTCCTTTGGGTAGTGAGTATATCCAATCTCCTCCTCCTCCTAAAAAACTGTGAGCTAGCTCACACTAACTCAGCTTAGAGGGGACACTTAGTCCTTGGATGGGAGACCACCAAGGAAGTCCAGGGTTGCTATGCAGAGGCAGGCAATGATAAATCATCTCTGTTCATCTCTTACCTTGAACGCCCTATGGGATTGCCATAAATTGGCTACAACCTGACAGCAAGACATGATATGTATATCATACATACATTACACATACATGATGGATAGATGGCATTTCTGCCATGCCTTTTAAAGTTCTCAGCATGCTTCTGCATATATTAGCTCAGCAATACAACAGCCCTGTAGGGTAGACCAGTATTATCGCCACATCCCAGGAAGGTCTGGGGCTGAGAGAGCGGCATCCCACAGGTGGCCTAGGGAGTTTGTGGCAGAGGCCACCAGTAACATAGTGGGGGAAATGTGACCCTCCATTTTCTATGGCTGGGCAATAGATAGCACTCAAGTGTAAGATGAGGCTGCACATGCTGAAGTGGCCACAGACGGAGCCCTGTGCAATAGCACAGTGAGCTATTCTGGCACCCCTGGCTCGAGGGTGGACTGGGGGAGAAGACAAGCCCCGCTACATACCCATGGCGGCGGAATCCTCAGCTTCTCGTTGCCTCCCTCCGCATATACCCCACTGTCCTTTCCCGGACAAAGTGAGAAAAGAGAGCCAGACACTCCCTTTCTGAAGCAGGGAGGGCCAGGCAGCCCGCTGTGACAAGCCAGATGCGCACGCAGGAGAGGGACGGTCCCAGGCCTGGCAAGCAGGTAAAACGGGTTCCTGGCCCAGCCAGGCTGCAGCAAGCCAGGCAGGGGGGCCCAGTAGACTTGCTTGCCCCAGAGAGGCTGGTGCAGCCCAGCACTGGCAGAATGCCAAGCCAAAATGGAGGCTGTGCACACAGGGGGTGGGGGTGGAGGGGAGCACGGCCCAAAGGGGTACAGAAAAGCAGGCAGGGCTTAAGGAAGTGGCAGCACAGCATGTGATGGGGCCATGGACCAATGTAAGGGCCTCTGCATTGCACACAGAAGTTTCAATCCCCGGTATCTCCTGTTAGAAAGGACCCTGGAAAGCCGCTGCCAATCTGAGTATATGATACTGACTGTGATGGACCAAGAGTCTGATTCCGTCTAAAGTGGCTTCATGTGTGCAAAAGTACATGTGTGTGGTGTGTGCTGGAGTATTGGGTTACCAACCTCCAGGTGGGGCCTGGAGACCACCCAGAATTACAACAGCTCTCCAGACTACAGGGATCAGCTCCCCTGAAGACAACGGAAGCTTTGGGCGGTGGGCCCTGCAGAATTACATCCCTACTGCGCTCCCTCCTCTTCTCAAGCCCTGCCCACCCCAGGCTCCACTCCCCCAAATCTCCAGAAATTTCCCAGCCCAGAGTTGGCAGTCCTATGGACAAAAGGCCAAGGAGAATCAAGTCCATACAGCTGCAAACAAGGAAATAAGCTTTTGTCATAGCTGAGAAAGCACACGATGCAGCTGAAGACCTCTGCTCAAGTCTTCGCTCAGGAACTCCCTCTGTGGCCTTTGGCCAGCTGACCCCCCTCCCCCCAATGAATGTGGTGTCCCTGAGATATGGCTGATACTTCTGCTTATGGCACTTGACAAAGTAAGCTAAATGTCCCAGCCCTGAAGAGTGTTCAGTTTAAATGCTGACAAAGGGAGAGGAAATAGAGAAAAGACCGAGGCCAGGATTGGCATTTCCCACGACAGGTGCTGGGGTTCGAGTACCCTTTGGCATTGAAGCCTTTGGCCAGGCAGCTGTGCTTCCTTCATCACACATACCTCAGAGACGACTGTGGCTATGCAGAGGTCAAAGCTCTTTGTGTATGTTCAGAGGTGTTTTTGTCTTGACTGCTGATTTAGAGATTCCAATGGTTGCATCCTTCCATTCCAGAGATTGCAGGCGGAGTCTCCTGGAACAAGCGTAAGCTCCTCACACACTCGGAGACAACACAGGGACCTGAAACCCTTCATGTTACTTCAGACACAAATAGTCTCACAAATCTCGAATGAAATTAGCCATGGTCCTTGGAGAATTGTGTTCTGAAGTGCTTTTGCTGGAGATCCTGTGGCATAGCTGAATTGCCATCCATTCCCCAAAATGGATGCTTTATGATTGGGCATACTGCCACACACTCACTTGGGCATAGCCTTGTTTGGTGCGCGTGTTTGTGCAACAGATAAATAACTGGGGCATGAGCAGGTCTAGGGGAGACGAGATGAGGAAGTTGGGTGGCAGCTCACAACAGTGGCCATGCTTTCATCAGTTGACAATAGGGGCCATTTATTTGGTTTACAGCTGAGGTCAGTGGCCCCTTCTGGCCCGTGAAGCCCTCGTTGGGCACTGAAGTCATTAAATGTTTGCAACGGCCTCCCCTGCTCTCAGTCAATGGGCATAGGAGGAAGGGTTTCCCAGAATGCGTATATTGTCATTTACCTCACTTATACTGTGCCTTTCTCTCCAATGCAGATTGAAAGTGGCTGACCTCCTCCTCCTCTCCTCCACTTTATCTGCAGAACCACCCTGTGAGGTGGAGTTAGGCTGAGTGGGGGGGGGGTGTCACCCAGCCAGCTTCTATGTGCAGAGTGGGCACTCAGACAGGAGTGGACTGGCCACTAAAGTGTGTGGGATGCTTCTTTTTGCGACAGGCGATTGGAAGGTACCCACTTGCCATCCCGCTGCACCAAGAACCAGCATCAACACAGGTTGAGTCTTGCTGTAAACTCTTGAGGTACCCTTCACCTCTACCATCCTCCCCTGTAACATTGTGCAAATACTGGCCTACCTGCCAGGGTTCTTGTTAAGAATTACTGTTGATAATGTCTGTGATGCACCGTGAGCACTTGAAAGGTGTTCTCTAAATGTAATTATGATTCAGCTGTTCTACAAACTATGTTCACAATCTAGAAAGGCAGCGGAAGAGGGCAAGAAGAGGTCTTTCCATCTAGCCACTGCCTGCTTTGATTTCTCCCAATCTGGAAAGAAAGTTGAACTCAGAATGGCTTAGCTAGCCCTGGCACACATTTAGTTAGCCCTGGTCTCAGTCCACCTGCTGAAACCAGTTATCAGCTCTTGAAATTAAAAGATGCTGGTATCTGACAAGACTTCTGCAGGCACAACCCAGCAGATATCGGGGTGGGGGAGATAAACAATGCAGCAGTGGAAGCACAAGCAGACTGAGGTGCCTTTGTTGCCCTGCTCAAAAGCAAGAAAACTAAGCGGGTCTTTAGTTCTTGGACATTTTGGTAACCTGATCAATATGTGAGTCAAGGGGTGCTTTATGAAAGCTAGAGAAGAAGAGTTGGTTTTATACCCCACTCTTCACTACCTGAAGAAGTCTCAGTGTGGCTTACAATCCCCTTCCCTTCCTCTCCCCACAACAGACACCCTGCGAGGTAGGTGGGGCTGAGAGAGCTCGGAGAGAACTGTGACTGACCCAAGGTCACCCAACTGGCTTCATGTGGAGGAATGGGGAATCAAACCCCATTCTCCAGATTACAGTCCGCCGCTCTTAATCACTACACCAAACAGGCTTTGCCTGGGAAAGCAATTCCAGCTCAGCCCTCGGTACATCCTCAAGGACTTCCCAAGCAGAAGCTGCTGGTGGTGGTTCTCAGCCTCAGAGCTCTGTGATTTCCTTGCCAGATGTACAGCAAAAGCCACAGTTGCATGGAGAACATTAACACTCCACACCAGCAGCCCCCATTCCCACTGAATAAAAACTCACCTCCTGCTTCCTGAGACTCTTCCTGAGTCTACTTCTGCTTCCCCATCCCATGAGTAAGGCCTTTCTGGCTGAGATGATGTCAGCTTTCAACTTTGCCTGACCTCGGACAAGTTGAAGTACCTGCTTTATTTTCCCTGACAACAGGGTGATCAAACTGGCCTGCCCAATAGCAGGCTGCAGTGCATGGGAACCTGGATTCTTATTTTTTTCAGCTCAGTATGAAGCAGAGTTAACCTGTTTTTCTGCTTCCTGCTGCTGTAACACAGGAACAGCCACTTCTGCTTCTTATCAGAGAACACAGTAGATTTTACCCACATTTTGTACCACTGGGAAGTCAAAAGTTGAAGACTGTACTCCCTTTGGAACCCCCTTCTAGTTTTTCAGATCCAAGAACTCTGAAAAATGTTAGTTGGCTTTAAAAAGTATGGTTTAAAACCCCTACAAAAAAACCCCTTAGTGACAAAAGCTACCTTCATGCACAAGTGGTTGGGTTTAATCTCAGGTATGATCAGCGAGCCCCGTTCAGCTCCACAGGAGTGGGATACAAACCTATTGTTTAGAACTACAGCACACATTGCTTGCTCTTCTTGGATCAAACTACTCAGAATAACTTCTGATTCTGCTTTATGAAATCCCACTCTTCTTGTGGGGCCTTCTACGAGTGGGGCTTGTGCCAGGTGCTTTCCCAAGTACACAAGTGTTGCCAAACCTGAAATTTTATGTTGTTTCAAGTACTGTTACAGTTTGGACTTGTAAACCTGGTTTTGAATACACAAAGAACTGGATGTTGAGGGGTGTGTGCTCTATTGTTCAATGTCCCAATTTAACCTAGAAACACAATATGCAAAATAACTGCCCTCCCACTTACCAGGAAAAGCAGTTAAGAATAGTGAACCCAGGCGGGTCCTTTTCAATTAAAGGCCTTGCAAGTGTCACGACTTCCCTAACAGCTCTTGAGAACAGAGCAGGAACGTGAAGTGCTGCTCACCCAGTGGTGGGAGCAACACCAGGGGCTTAGTGTTACTCTCAGATGCAGTTCAATGTGGGGGCTCTAACTTTATATACTACACACATCTCCCCTCCCTTGTCCCACTGTTACATTTACAATCACTACTGTCCACTGGAAACATCCACCCAGGGAATGCACTTCTTGAAGCTGCTCCACAGTTCACCAGAAATCCAGCCCAAAGGCATTTTCTACAAGCAACTCGAGACTTTTATTATTTTGGGCAAGAGTTGTGGCTGCTGTTCAGGGCTGGCTTTCAAAAAGGGAGCCACTGCTGTGCTTTTGGTTTAACTTGCTCTGAACGTTCGAAGGCAGGGCAAAGTAAAACTGAAGTGCTAAAATGGCTTGCCATTTGAGGCCAAAATGGCACTGGGGCTGATGAAGCATCAACAGTCCCAGAGATGAATCCCTGAAGAATTGGAGGGCTGCAGCATCACTGGGGCTACTTCATACCCTGCAGACTGGGCAGCCTGCATTTACCCCTTTAAAGTGTGAAGGAAGCACCTGCCTTCCTGCCATCGTGCAGGGCAGAGATCGAGGGCCAAATGCAGCCCCCTGACCATTGCCATCTCTACCTGCATGGAATGTGTCCATCAAACTGCAATGCATGAAGCCACTGTCGAGCAACTGCTCCATTTGGATGAGTCCGACCAAATTCCCCCTGACAGTTCAGCCACAGAGCTCACTGAGCAGCCCATGGAAAGTCACTAATATGAAAAAGGTAGACGTCTTCAGAAATTAAGGCACCTAAAGCTTCTCACACTGGCAGCACCTCCCCTGCAAGGAAGGCCCTGAGATGCCTGAGTAGATAAGACCTAAGGGAGCTGCCAAACAACTTAGCTGCGTACTTCCAGCCACACCTGCAGGCAGCAGGAGCACAGCCGATCTTGATTTTAATTAAATCTGGGAGGGAGAGAAATAGAGTTTCCAGAAGCAAAACAACTGGGCTGTTAGTGTAACATAGCAAAACAAGTTTCTGGGCCTCATGGCTATGAAAATACGCAGCCAGGAGGTGAAGAAATCTCCAGAATTATGGGTGGGCCCCCGAAGGAGTTCTAGAGGTAAAAGAATGAGTCTGCTTCAATACCACCTGGAGTTCTTTGCACGAACACACAGCAAGATATGTAGCCAAAGCAGACTCCATTTTACACACGATCCACAGCTTTTCATAGTACAGAGCTGTGCATTTTATTCAGCAGCAGTCTTAACAGAGACACCAGTATACACCCTCTGCTGTCAGAAGGTAAATGTCGGACATAAAGGCAAAGAAAGAAACCAGAGGTACTCCCTTCCCAGTTCATTTTAATGTAATTTTATTTGCACAATCAAAACAAAAGCTTGCAGGCGTAACTAAGCAAGAACTGCAATGGGTCCCATAAAATGAGCCCAATTCATAGCATAGAGAGGATGCGGCAGGGGGAGAAGCACCACAAAGCCAGATTTTCAAGGGACTGATTTCTCTATGCAGCAACAACATTCGCTGGAGCTGGCTTGGAAGGCCTGGGAGGAAGATTGCCCCCCCCCCATGCCAAAACACCTTTTTTGAGCTCTACAAATTTAAAGCTGAAGATAAAACACAAAAACCAACCACCAGTAACTTGCCATGGCCATCACAGATGTGAGTCAAAATTGCTTTATAAAAAGATTAATAAAAATACTGGAAAAAATTCTCATTTTTCATGCTACAATTTCTGTTATCCTAATATATCCAGAAGTTTCTTAGAAAAACTATGCAACCCTGAAAAGTATTTGAATTCACAATTGGAGGCAAAGAGGGTAAGCGAGAAATCTAGAGTGAAAGGACCTAGATGCTTCTAAGATCAGCCAAGAGCAGTGGGGGGTGGGGTGGGGGTGGGAGGTCTTCTCCAATTTTGTACCACGCCAACTTTCCTTCAAAAAAAGAGAAAAAAGGAACACATAATGGGAACTCCTTAAAAGCGAAAAGGATTCCAAATTCAAGTGGGGGAAGAGTTCCTTTAAAACTAAGAACACGCAGTTTGGTCCCAATGATTTATATGCAGGTGTTTAGTCACATGTGTCGTTCTTTAATATGCAAGAACCACAAAGGCTGTTCTGAAATTAATCATCCATAACGGGCATCGTCTCTATTATATGCAAAGGCTTAAAATAAAGGATTCTATTTTAAAAACTCCACAAACAAGGAAGGAGAGAAAACAAAAAAAACCAGGGAATTTTCCCATCACCATCTTTTTTTTTTCTTTTCCCCCCAGGAAACAAAAATGATTGCCAAGAGTATTGGGAACAGACTTACTCCACGTTGTCCTCCGAGGGTCACACACAAAAAAAAGATTAACAAACAAACACATTCAACTAGTCAATAAGGATCAGTTACAGTTCAGACGGGGGCAGAGGCCATGCGCCCTCCAGAGGCTCCTGCTTCAGGCTCTCAGGACCCTCTTCCCAACTCACGGCTTCTACTCTGCGACCGACTGAAGGGCTTCTTTCTCCTCTCTGGTCTCAGCTCCGCTCTCGTCGTCCTCAATCTCTCCCTCCTCTCCACTAAATTTGTCATGGGCCCATTTGGGGCTGGTGTTTGATTTCCGGTACAGGAAACGGCCCCGCCCACGGGGGAAGATGCCACGGCCCCTGCCTCGGTTTGCCCATTTCTCGCCACCTTCGCCTTCGCGGTCATCATGCTGCAAGGGCAATGGAAAATGAGAGATGGACCAGGAAATGTCAGATAGAACTCTCCCCATTCCTCTGGGGCCCCATCTATTGTTTTATCCCGTCCCCCTCCCACTGCAGTTAGCTGCTGCCTCCAATGACTGCTGAGTGCCCCGCCCCCCATCCTGATAACAAACAAAAGTGGGGAAATATTGTTCCTTGAGTGATGGGACAGTGAAACCAAATGCCACAGATTCCCAGATCTCCTCCAGAGTTTTTAGCTGCCATGGGGAAGGGGCAACTTCCCTGCAAGCATCTCACCCGTTCCAGCCCTTCTCACGACTACTTACCAAGTAGTATTTTTTGCTCTTAGGTGTATACTCAGGGTCCCACTCCTCTTCTCTGGTTCGTTTTTGGAAGTCAGCACTGCCACTGCTGTTGTTATTGTTGCTGTTGCCAGAAAAGGTGCCTCTTCCCCAACCGCGGCCCCTGGCTCGGAACTGCTGCTGAGAGCACCAAGAAGAGGAAGAAAGGGTCAAGGAGGAGGAGGAGACAGCACAGGATGCCCGCAAATGGAACTATTGCTGTTGTAGCGTCTTTTCACCTGCAAACTGAGGTGGGGCAGCCTTGCCTGAGTATCTCCTATTACACGAGAAGGGGCTGAATATATGCCACAGCATTGGTGTGGGGGTACTTCTCGGGACTATGGGGCTGCTTCACACTGAAGACCTGCCAATACCTAAGACTAAGGAGCTTCCAGAAGTGCTTCAGGGATGTCAGAACTCAACTGGTCCAGGGCTGGGATTCCATGTTTTTGTGGTTTTATGGGAAGGTCTCCCCAAACGGGGTGTTTTTAATCAGTGAACAACCACCCAGGCTTTCATGCTAGAAGAACACATGCTATGAAGTGGATGAACACCAACAATGGTGGTGGAAAGTGCCATCAAGTTGCAGCCAACTTATGGCAACCCCACGGATTTTCAAGGAAAGAAATGAGAAGATCTGGTTTGCCACTGTGTGCGCCCACACAGAAATCCTTGGCCGTCTCTCCTATCCAAATTCTAGTCAGAGCTGGCCCTGCTTAGCTTATTGGCCCATCCAGGTCAGGGAACACCAACACCAGGTCAGGGAACACCAACAACAAGATGCCAAAAAGATAGAGATGTAAAATTTCCAGAAATTTTGAAGCTTTAGGAACATAAAATATGACTATGGACATTTTTACTTGGGCATGAAATAATCACAACTAGCATATTAAAAATATAGCGTATCCAAACAATTATTACAAACAGAATACCCACCCACATGCAAAAACAAAACTGAAACCTTTTTATTTTCTTCTGACAATAGCACCTCCTAAAGGAAGAAATGCATCTTGTTCTTGCATTGGAGAGTTCAGCTTGTAACCTAGGACTTGCTTGTCCTCAGTGCACAGAAATCAGATCAATCTGATACCATATATATATATTTTAGAAATGATTTGGAAAATATTTGAACCCCTTGTCTTAAAATATTTAATTCATCATGTTAAAATAAAACGTTTCATAATCAATTTCTTTTCTTTTCTTTTTTCAATTTTTCGGAAAAAAACAAAAAAGGCTTCAGGAAAAAAAACGGGGGGAAAAATGTTTTTTCCCCGAATTTTTCCGGGCCTTCACATCTCTACAAAAAAATTCCTGAACTGATTTATTCTGACAGGAAAGTGTAGGGATTTCACTAAACAGAAGAAGGCAGAGAAGGGAAGAAGGGGGTGGAAGTGGGGAGAGAAATGTGGAGAAATGCAAGCTCCTGCCTTCTCAGTATACTTGAATGCAACCAAGCTTTGCCAGTTAAAAATTTTAATTCACTGTCCTGGAATGAAGGCTGACCACTGAGAAAGTACTTCTTCAAAGGGGGCAACTTACAAAAGTCCCACGAGCTCTGCCCCGCTCGTTTGGGCCAGCAAACTCCTTGGTGCCGAGGCGGGATTTGTCAAACCCGGGGGCAGACTCCTCCCGCTCTTCTGCCTCCTCAGCATATTCCTCAGCTTTGTAAGAGCGTGAGGGTGAGGACTGTGAGGACGAAGAGCTTGACCTGGATCGCTCCCGCACACGCCGGTGCTTCCTGAACCAAAGGGAGAGAGAGAAGCGTTTGTCAGGAGAGGAACATGCTTCTGCTTTTATTCAGATTCTCCTTGCAGTGAGTGGAACCACCACAAAATCCCTCTTGCAAAGGGATCTTTCGCAACAAAAGCTGGGGCACACACACACACGTGCCTGTGCATCCACCTTCTTGTACAAGAGCCCTCACACCTGTTGCCAGCTGCCTCTACATACCGACTCTTTAAATAAAGGCACCTGCTGGTGGTCCTTGAGGGGTGCCCTTCTCTTGCCTTCTCTCTCAGCAGTTTCCCAGAAAGGAGGGGAGAAAGGGGGAGTGAGGAGACAGGGACAAAATGATATAAACTCCCCCCTCCTGGTCCAGCATGGCTTATTGATCTCTGAAGCTCCAGCTGAATCCAGCAACATTACCCATGTCATCTCCCACACCACAATGACAAGATCAAACCAACTGCAGGATAAGACCCCACTTCACTCTCCAGCTCCGAGATCACATCAACATACATGAAACTGCCTCATACTGAATCAGACTCTTGGTCCACCAAGATCAGTATTGTCTACTCAGAATGACACCAGCTCCCCAGGGACTCAGGTAGAGGTCTTTCTGATCCCCGACTGGTGATGACAGGGATTGAACCTGGAGCCACAGCCCCTCCCCAGCCACCTGGACTGACCTCCTTCTCCTTTCCCCCAGCGTTTACAGGAATATCTGTGCTCCACCATGGGTGGCTGAATTGCTAAGTGCAAAGGGGCTGGCTTATAGCTTTGGAAAGGGTGCAAATAAGTACTGTGATCTTCATCCTACATCTGAGTGAGCCCTGGAGTTCTTGAAAGACCATCACCGTTTCCTAGATGGGACAATCAAAGGGGAACGTTCCTTGGAATACAGACGACCCAGTCTCCTCAGACTTCTCCTGCAAGGCACCCTCCACCAAGTGGGGGGATGAATTCTAAGGCAGGTGCTCCCTCCGTGCTGGTCAGCACCTGGACCCAACAGCTCCACGTGAGCAGTGAACCAAGTGTTGGAAGTAAAGGCTACTCAGCATGTCTGGACACTGGGGGGCTCTGTATTTCCCTTGCTCTAGTACCAGACTGTGTGTGACGCCCTCTTTTTGTCTAAGCTGGGAACTTCTCTCTCTCTGGCTTCTCCTTCTCTTTCTATGCCTTTGCTTCCTCTCCTCCTGGCCTTGCAAGAGGCAAGACAATCTCCTGTGCAAGCAAGCCAGGACCAGTGTTCCCTCTAAGCTGAGTTAGTGTGAGCTAGCTCACAGTTTTTTAGCCTCCGGCTCACACATTTTTGTCTTGGCTCAGGAAGGACGGCTCCAGAGCAAACTAATTTATGCAGCAGCCAATCTGCTCGCTCACAACTTTAATGCCAGGAGCTCACAAAGTAGAATTTTTGCTCACAAGACTCCACAGCTTAGAGGAAGCATTGGCCAGGACACACCTAATGGTCTCATACTTGCAAAGATGTGCTGCTGGATTAGCTAGCCACTTGTAATAAGGAATAGTACTTAGTTTAGCCTTCTGTTTTCTTCTTCTGTTATAAAAATGCTTGTGAATGTAAGATTCAATAAAAGTCCTTTACCTGTTGCATTATACTGGCTTGAAGAGTGTTTAACTGCACACAATTCCACACTTTCTTGACTGTACAACCTTGCTATCTTAACCAATACAAAACCCAGTACCAAGTGTGCATCCCACAGCACTCCCCAATCCCCAGAACCCTCAGTTAATGCACCGAGGTTCCACGACAAACTTCCAGGTGTCCCTTGATAGATAAATCAAAGTACAATTGAGTTTCTGAAGGCAGAAAGCCTGAAGCCATTACTTCGCCATAACAGGCTCTTTGCCCATTCAGTCTTGGCATACAAATTAGACCCCTCTGTTTCTCATCTCATATCACAGTGGCTAGAGGAGACAGCTTCCATTATATACAGATGCCTATGACATACAGTGGTCCATGCCACCCTGGCATTAGGAACGACTGAACTGTAGCTGACAGTTTATAATCTCAACTCCTCATCCATAGCCCTGCATGTGCTACTAACAACATGCATGTGGTGCCTCTCTAGAAAGGGATCGCTCCTCTCTTACGTACTTCTTTTTGGACCCTTTGTGAGACCTCTCTGTTTTCTCCGCTGATCTCTCCCGCGAATGACTTGAGGGCCTGGAGTCCACCGATTCTCTCGACTTGCCCCGCTTATCCTTCTCCTTATGTTTTTTACGCCGTTCAATGTCAAGGCGCAGATCAACTGGGTCATCTTTATATTTGCTTTCTGCCTGCAAGAAGAAGAACAGGAGAAAGGCTTACACACGAAGGAATCCGCAGTTCCTGCAAAACCACAACCCATTCCACTTTGTTCAGGACTGAAAAGATTGCAGCTGGGCACACACCATTGCTGTTAACACTGACAGGTTGTGCAAGACAAGGGGAGTCTGTGTCCTCCCTTATTCACTATTCTCTATGACAAATATAGATTAATACTAAACAAAGGCCAAACCAAAGCCTCTTTAGTCTCAAAGGCTGGACAAGCGAGGAATGTTAGACCTCAAAGGAGTAGGATTATAAAATGATGTTCTATTCTTCCACCCTCCTGAAAGATTCTCATTTTCTGCGGGGACTTAACTCAGCAAAATTCCTCACCTCTGCCTGGAAAAAAGAGACCTAACCTCCCTGTGGGAGAGGTGAAACAGCAGTGCCCAACTGGGCTGCAATTATGGAAAGAGAAGGGAAAACATGCAGATCAGCTTCACTATCACTGGCCAGCAGAAGACTGGTGCATACAAAGGGACCAGTGCAGGGGTCGTTTCGTAGAAAAAGAGCTAGGGGAACTCATTAGCATAACTCATTAGCATATGCCACACACCCTGACATCACCAGAAGTGTGTCATAAGGCCACACCCCCCCGCCCCCAACGGTCCCGGCCGCCGCCGGCCTTGCAGCTTCACTGCCGAGCCCCATGAGGGGCCCGGTGGTGGACCTGCAAGGCTGGCGGGAGTGCAAGGAAGCCCCGCAAAGGCCCTCCCTGGCTCCAGGCAGGCAGGAGTGGGGAGAGGCAGGGAGGAAGCAACTTACCCTCCCTCTTCTCCTGCCTCCTCCTGGCTGAACGAGGGCCGGAAGTGGGGCAGCCAGAAGCAGGGGGCGGGGCTTTGTCATGTGCCCCGCCCTCCCTACCTCACCTGGGGGAACTGCGTTCCCCCCCGAAATGACCTCTGGACCAGTGAAGGATGAATGGGGGGAGCCAGTCTTGATTTGTGTGCTCCCCCTTAAATCTCTGCTGGCTATAGGGTTGTCTAGGATGAACCTTGAAGCGACCAGGTATTTTGCACTTGCTCAGTTTCACCTCACAAATTCAGAGATGTGCAGTGGAAGTACAGAGGGCGGTATTTCGAGAGCCAAGAGAATGACAAAAAGGCTATTTCTATTACTAAAGGTGGTGGAGAGAAAGGAATGAAAATGAACTGGCTTCTGGAGAGACCTGGAAACCAAATCTACCTTTTCCTTCACAGATTAGGGGCTGGAACATCACTCCTTCCATCCCCAGTTATTATGATGCTGCTCCCTGTTCTTTGGTGCCCAACCATCAGATACCTTTCCCTGCCTCCAGTGGCTCCTTTTTGCTTTGCCACCTGAGTTGCTTAGAAGCAAGCTTTGACAGCACAATGTTATGCAAAATAAATTATCCAAATTACTTATTTTGTACAACACTTCCTATGATTACCAGATATTTACACAGCACAATGTGCCTGGAGCACTAGCTGAAAACATGGATGTTCTCGGAGATCATTTTAAAGGAACTTTCCCAGAAAAAAAAAAAAGACATGCTCCCAAATCCCCATTCTCCTTTTCTAGTTTATCACTTATTAATTTACACAGGTGGGAAGAAATAACTAAGAACACTGGAAAGTAGTCAGAAGATTCGGTTCTATGAGCAAAAAAACTCGCTGGTGGCACAGTATTTCATGTTCTGTTTCCAAAGTTGTAATTGCTTGCATTGTTACATTATTACAAATCCTCCATGCTTAATTACTACTGTTAACAGTGGATCAGTAGGATCTCTTGATCCATTTCAGGAGCTTTTAAACCCAAGATTAGGTAAGACCTTGGACAACTGGATCAAGAACTAGGAAAGGTTTTAAAGGGTTAGCAGCCCTCTACTGAAGGTTTTACTTACACGCGTCGCTAGAGCACATTTTGGGTCAAAAATAAAGGTTGTTTTCAATGAGAGCAGGAGCGGGATCTTTTTTGCTCCTCTGCCTTCCACACGGGTGAAGGAGAATTCTTTTCTACTCAGAAAACAAAGCTGACTGCTGGCCACCACAGCGGAAACTGATCTGTATCTGAATGGCAGCAGCAAAACTTAAGCCGACATTTTGCTTAGTTCGGTTTCATGTAGAGCTCTTTAGGACCGTACACCTGAAGCATGCACCTCTTTGTGCGTGCCCATATTCATGTGGCCTCTGCACTGCCAACTGGTGCTCAAGGCCCCATCCATTCCAGCAGTCTATTATCCTTCAAAAGTGACAGATGAATTTGGAGAACTGCAAACACAGATGATAGGAAAGCAACAACTTTGGCAGGATTGATTAAAAAAACCTTTGCAACAAACATGTATGAAGGTGAACAGACAATGCTTAAACCCAAGATGTGCCCATATTTTTTATTTCAGCTTTTTAAAATAAAGAATGTATAATCATTTCACTTTTCACAACTGCTTAAAGGATCCAGAAAAAAAATGTAATTCACTGCTGTATTTTTTAAATAAAGTACTGGCAGTCACAGAAAATACATCTGCAGAAAAAATATCTGTTTAAGTAATGGTGCGTTTGGCTCAGAAATGGATTTGATTTTACTTCCCTCTGTTTCTGACATGCATGTCTTTTTTGAAAACATGGTTGGAAATATCACGGGTAATACAAGTGATTTAGTCATACTTACAAGCGGCAAAATATCACAAAAAGTCTCTTCCATCATCAAGGTCACTTGTTTTCCAAAAATCCACTTTTTGTTTCAAGCTCAACCTCAATTGACTTTGGGGTCATTTTTTACCATATTTCTAACCACTTCACAAAGGTTGTTGATACATTTTTTTTAATAAAAATTAACCCTTTGTAGTTCATTTTTAGAATTATGCCCATCCTTGAAAGAAAAACACAAACTTAAGTAGAGAGCAAGTTAAATAAAAATATCACTTTCAAAAAAAAGTTCATGCCCACAGCACGCACACATTATATTCTGCTACTGATCAAAACAGTAGTTCACCTTATAGCCGGTTTCTTTGGAACTTTTGATTTCCTCCTGTGAGAACCCGTGCTTTCTAAAGGAACTCGGAGAAATGTCTATCCTCCTAAAAACAAAGAGACAGAACAAGAAAATGCCACATGAAAACCACTTTTTTGTCATTCAAGTAACATACAAATCAGACATCAAAATCATGCCACAAATGCCCTGACCAGGATAGCCCAGGCAAGCTTGATCTCATCAGATCTCAGAAGCTAAGTAGGGTCGACTCTTGGCAAGTGCTTGGCTGGGAGACCTCCTTGGAATACCAGCAGTCAGGAGGCTTTCTTCAGCCACCTCTCTGAATATCCTCCAGGTCCCCAGCCAGGGTCAGTCATCAGCGGTCACCATGACTTCCAGGTGCACACACACTCACACACACACACATACATATATGAAAAATACAAAAAAATACCCCAAAAAAATCATGCCGCAAACAACAACTGACCAACAATGTTCAGTTGACTCAATGAACAGATTAAAGGGTTCCATACAGGAGGCCAAAGCCTAATGCCTTGGCTCAGCCATTAACCTACCGGGCTGTCCTCAGCAAGCCACTACTGCTGCTTGGCTTTATTTGACCTGGCCAGCCCAGGCTAGCCCAACAGGGTCAGCCCTAGTTAGCACTTGGATGGGCAACCACCGCGGCAGTCCAGAGCTGCTACAGAGAGGCAGGCAATGCCTTGAAAACTCTACAGGGTCACCATACGTCAGATGCAACTTGACGGTACTCTCCCTAAATCACTGTTGTCTCGGGGAGGTTAAAAAAGCCAAGAGCATTCTGGAAATTTAAAAAGTGGCAAGCTATCTGGACCCTTCCCTACCTTGGTGATCATGCCAAGAGCCACCTACCTGTGGATTTCAGGGCTTTTGTTCTTAGCCGATTCCTGCTCTGCTCGTTTCAGGTATTTTGTAAAGCGTTCGTTCAGCGTCATTCCCGAAGACCCAAAGTGGTGCTCTGTTTATTTGAGGTGATGAAACACATCATAGAATTAATACTGCATTTAGACTCTAGGATGAGATTAAAAAATGAATTCTGCATGCACGTCTTCAATAGCTTAGGAAAGCAAATGATGTGAAAAATAAAGTGGGAGAGAAAAAGAAGAAAGGATTCACCTCCTTACTAAGAGATGTAGAGAATCTTTTCTCTTTAAAAACTATGGCTGGACCCCCTGTGCTGTACTACACCCACAAGAACTCTTTCCCCTAATGTAAGAGGTACTCCTAGGCTATGAGAAGGTTTCTCACATGAGGGGGCAGCACTGCTGCTAGAGCAGTAAATCTGCAGGATCCAGTCCTAGTCTTCTAACCCACCTAAAGCTAAACACCCAATGCGCCATTCTTCTCTCCCATGTGTATCCTGTTCCTAGTGGCCACTTGGTTTAGGTGAGTGACACTTCATATTTATTTTTTAAAAATCACTCTGTTTGGGTGATGGCACTTGTGAGATGGATGCCAAAAAGAAAGGAGCAAATGCTATGTTCTTTCTTACTAACTAGAGTACTGCATTTAGCTAACAGCTCAGTTTAGGAATGGCTAATTTTTCTGCACTAGAGCACCACCATCTTCTCCAGACACTGGTTGGAGGCCAGAGTGTACTTTGCCCCACAAATTGGCCTCTTCATGAGTAGTCAGGCTTTATAACAGTCAGTGTCATCAATAATGGCTTTGGGATTCCAGAGCACATCCCATTCAGATGTGGCTGCAGCAGTGCATACAAACCTCCCCAAAGGAGCTATGCCACTAAAGCGCTGGCTCTTTGGCAACTTAATACATTTTGCTTTAAATTCCTTCTGGCCTCTGCATGCAAGCAGCTATTGCTCCCCCACTCCCAGTACAGGTTGCAAATGCAAATATATCAGAAAAATAAAAGTGCAAGATGACAGTTTCAACTTTGAGATTTTTTTTACTCCTCCTGCTCTTACCTGCAAAAACCTTTACAACTGCTGACACTGCCAGATGTGCACTAGTCACAGTGCAGAAGTTCCATGAAAAGGAGGAGCCCATTAGAGATGAGCAGGGTGCCTTCCCATGTGTTCACCAAGTTGCACCCCCTTCTACAGATTAATGGCAACACGGCTGTTCTGGGGACAGACTTGCCCACCAAGCCAGCCCCACAATCACCAGATGCATCTGTAGCAACTCACCTTTTACATGATGTACAATAGTAACTATGTGCTGGGCAAAGAGCTCTGAGGGACTCCGCTGAGATTGGGCTGACTGGATGTGGTGAAAGATCGAGCGGAACTCCTGCTCTTTTTTGTTGCTGTGCACCAGATCACGACACAGCTTGCGCTCCTGAGCCAAAATTCCACTTGGGCTGGTGAGGAAACAGGCACACAGACACAGGTTAGAGAAGTCTGGCCACAATAAAGGCAATTTAATCAGCAGCTGCCAGTAATACAATGCACACATTGTATGTTTTATGTTGCCATAAAAGTTAACTGGTTGTGCTTCTACCAAGGTCTTTGTAAGCACTATTTCTGCATCACACAATCACCTGTAGGAAGGTTGTTTGATAGACGGTCCTGTGACAGGGGAATCATGGCTGATAATCCATGGGGGGAGCGCCAGATAAAGACAGCCTCAAATGTTGAGTTACTTGGCATGCAACCTTTTTGACTCATAAGAGACTTACTGGTAACAGTGCTACTACTGGAGCTACCACATGCTATTTTATGACAGAGCCCCCATCCCAGTACTGTGCAGGAGTAATAATCTTGGGGATTTCTTGGCACATTCCTGTTTTAGATCTTATGACAAATATTCGGATTTAAGTGGTATAGTATTTTCTGTTCACAATCTCTTTCAAGCAGTGAACTAAAAATATTTTGAAAAGCTCACTCCTTATAGGAGCAAGAATGTCATTTATGCAAATGGAATCTGGCAGCTGTAGAGGAAAGACAAAGGCTCTCATAAATCACAGCCAATGAACAGAAGAGTAAAACCAAATATGGCTCAACAAAAGTTCCTCTGGTCCAACATTTAATGTATTACATACAGATTTTACATTTTAGCCAAGGAGCTAATAGAGGCACATCTGCATTACCTTTCACACATCCTGATTTAGAGTAAAAATCCGATCAGCTGAGTTGAAAAGATTGAACTCCAACCATTTTTGCAAAAAGGTATTATTTTCTGGATCTGATCTCTTGTGTTTTGTAACTACTGCATGATTATGGTCATGATTTGTGTTTAAAAATCTGGAAAGATTGGTTCCATCACAATACAGACATTTCACTATCAGCAGGTTCATTTACTGACCAAATTAATTATCTGAAGTGCCATTAACAAAAAGAATCTAAGAATTCTTGATAGTTTCACCTGCTGATACACAACTCAAGAGTGATATCTGCCTGGTGACACTTTACATGGCTGGTTTTACATAGAAATTGGAGACTTCAAGTATTTCCAGGAAAAATTTCTCCCACTCCTGACATACTGTAATAGAAAGTAAATGGAACTCTCTCCCCCACTCTCAGGTATCTGTGATTTTCTGCTCTTCCTTCTGGGATTGTTATATTTAAGCCTCTCTCTCTGCAGCCTATTCAGTTTCATGACACCTACTTTGATTTTGGATCTTAAGATTGTCACATTTCTAGCAACAGAGGTATGGTTCAATTTGATTTCTGAACACATTCCTATGATTCATTTTTTTTACAAAGGGTTACTTGTCTATTCACTTTAGAGGTCCACCCCAGTACAAAGTGGTTTGCCCACTTTGGTTCTCCTTCCATCTTTTTGCCATCCATTCCACTGCAAAGACAAAAGATGCTGAGCCTCTCACCGTGCAAGATCCTCATCGAAAGAATCCATCCGGAGATTAACTTGAGTCTCACGAGTAATTGAAAAGGAGGACTTCCCAGTAGCTAGGCCATCTCCCCGACCACCTGCCTTCTCTCTACCCTCTGAGGCCTTTCTCGGAGGAGGAGAGGCAGCACCTTTTTCCTGGCCAGCCTTGTAAGTGGTGACTCGGAAATTCTTCTCTGGAACAAAGCCTCTGTGCCCAGCCTCTGCTCTCTTGGCAGCCTGCCTGTCTTCTTTCTTGGACTGCTCGGCATAGGAGTCCTCCTCCATCTCTTCCGCTTTCCTCTGTTTCTCTTTGGCTGCAGGCAAAAATACCAGGCCTTCCCATTTGCCCGCTCGATCTTCCTCCTGGTTTTTACTGGAGGCAGACACCGTCTTAGACAGAAACTTGGGCTCATCATCCTCATCTTCATCAAAGTTGGGATCCTTTCGCCCTTTGCCCTTCATTTTTTTGTCTGGCTCATCTGCCTCATCTTTGCCATAGTGGCTCTCCTTGTGGAACTCGGCCATCTTTTTTTCAAAGTCATCCCGGAGCTTATAGCGCTTTGGGGACTGACTTCCACGATAGACCTTCTCGGTATCAGCTTTAGGAGCATATGGATCCAGTTTTGCTTTACCATCTGCTAATCCCATCTCAGAGAAACTTCCCTTCTCCTTCATTTTCTCCTTTTCCACACTCATCAGTTTCTGCTCTTTATCTTTCCCATTCTCAGACTTTTGCTCTTCCAAGTACCTATTTTACAGAGACAGAATACACACAGGTTAGGAACTATGAAAGCTGATTGATCAGAACTGTGGGAAGGCACCTTGTGTCACTAATAAAGTTACTACTTTGTTTAGCTTCTTTCATCTGTGAATGCTTGGATACAAAGATATCTGTTCACAACAGGTCGTGTAAGGTGGATGTACAGAACTTAAGTACTGCCAATAAAATGGAATTGCAACTTGAGCAAAGAACCTATTTCCACAGCTAGAAGGGGAAGGAAATATGCAAAAGGTCTTACCCCACCTGCGTGTTCACTTACAAACCTGTTTGTGGAGAATTAACCCATCAATATTTTCACCTTGGACTGCTGTGCTTTTTTAAGTAACACACATTGGAAATTAAAGCCTCAAAAGCTACTTCAAATTTTGGAGGCAAGTCTCCTAGGGAAGCTAGGAATAATTCAAAACACAAATAGAAGCAAAAAGGTTAACGGGGAAAATATTTCATTGGGTAGGAGGAACACGAAAGAGCAGCAACCTTGTTAAGCTTGGCAAATCACCAGCTAAACTGCAGGATGCCTAAACTACCATGCGAGGGGGAGGGGGGAGTTAATGGCAATTCAAGGTGGATTTCAAAAGCACACTGGGGTGATGGTGAATGACATCACAAATTTAAGAGTAAAAAAATCTGCAAAGTGAGAATGAATATCCTTCTGAAATCAGATTTTGAAGGACCTGGGATCAACTAAAAAAAATTATGAAAAGCAAAGCTATATTTCCCTACCAAGTTAATGGTTTTATTGCCTGTTTTTCCTGAACTCTGAGCTTGGGAAAACAAATAATAAAGTTAAAGCAATACTACTGCCCAGAGCACATGTACCAGTTGCCACCTCAGTGGCTGTGTGCTGCTTAATTTTTGCTGGATATGCAGGCTAGCTTTTGCACAGCTGTCACCAGCATTTGCCAGGAGTTGAGCTCATGGGTTGATTCCAAAGGAGGGCAAAAATCCTGTGCATTCTTTCCAGAGCCTCATCAAGCATTTCTAAAATTAAGACTGGAAACTCTTCTGCTCCTAAAACATGATGCTGATGGTGCCTGGAAATCTGACTTTGTTTAAAAAAGCAGTCCTGTACCCTGGAAGTTAGAAGGCAACACCAGAAAATCTGAGATGTACATTTTTCTTCTATTTCCTCTACTTCTGAAGAAGTCTGAGGAAACATCTGTGCACTATGGATCTAAAAAGTGCACCAGGTACACAAGAAGCCCTAAGCCCCATTTGACCTGCAGAAATTAAAGAGGTTTCCTCCTCTAAGAAGGCAACAGCTGTCATTCTGGGACAGAGCAACACTGTTCTATCTATCTATTCTCACCTACAGAACAAGAGGGTGAGTTCTGACCCCATTCACTCCCACCCTCTCTGTAAATAAGCCTGGACATTTGGCTGCCATGATATAGAGCCATCACTAATCTCACAAGCAGAAGAAAATTTGAGTCCAGTGGCACCTTTAAGACCAACAAAAAATATTTATTCAAGGTATAAGCTTCCATGCACACGCACGCTTCTTCAGATCACTTTGTTGGTCCTTAAAGGTGCCACTGGACTCAAACGCTGTTCTGCTGCTTCAAACCAACACGGCTACCCCACCTGAATCTAACCTTACAAGTATTTTTCTAACCCTTTTCAAAGTCCATTATACTGATGACAATTATGGGCAAGGCTCTATGTTGATTTCAGCAGCAGGAAGTCATGTACATTTCTTAGGAAGATATCCTCACTTCATACTACAGTACTAACAAAAAATTATATACAAAACTGAAAAAAATAAATGGAAAGGATTGTTATTTCTGAAGCTGTATTGCCCAGTCCTCATTCTGTTGCTTCTATGAATGAAATCAGATCTGAACGGGAGTGGCACTTTTTCAGTGGCGCCACCTGTTTCTGGGGAAGCCCAGTAAGCTACTCAACCATCTGCCTTCAGCCATTTGGTTTAAATGTTATTTGCCAAGGCTTTTAAAATTATGTTAATAAGTTATTCCTGTCTTACCAAGCTTTTCAGACTTTAAAAATACAATTTTAATTTTTTATTGTAATAGAGTTTATATCATTATGCATGCCGTCTTCATCAATCTGCCATTTGATGAGAAGCCTAGAAATGCCTTAGGTAATCAAAATCCCATAGAAGTTAAGCCCAAATAGCCAACCATATCCTGTTAAAATATTTAACTGCTCTTACTGAAGTTACTTCACTGTTTCCGTAACAGATGTCCCAAACTTTTTGATTAACCTAAAGTTTAGTTTAAATAACTTAGGCTTAGCATAACCACAAACCTAGCTAGACCAAAGGGCCGGAAAGGCAAGCAAACATTCAATAAATTTAAACAGGAGGAATCAAGACAGCTTGCCTCTTGGAGAAGGCTGACCCCATTTCCTCCTTCTGAGATGCCCCATAAATGGAACCAATTGTTGTGGGGCTTTTGCACACGGGGCTCTTCCTCGTTGGACTCAGGCCTGCTAAGTTATGCTCAAACTGATGTGAGCCTGCCTGAAAGGAGCTGCTGCTCTGCAGAGTCGAGCCCATCTGGGAAGGGTTAGATGATGTTGGGCTGGGCTTCTGAAGCGGACTCGGCCTGGGGGACCGGCGCCTCACCACGACAGACTGCAGGGGGCTCTTTAATGCTGGGCTGCGCTCTTTTGGACTCATCTCTGTCACCGAGGCCCTTGAGGCTGAGCTTGTGCCGTAAGTGCCCACTTCTTGCCAAGGCTTTGACCCCTCTGAGGATTTGGCATCCTGGGCAGTTCCTCCGGAGAAAGGCTGTTCCTTGGTGTCATCTCCTTGGCTGTCTCCAGCACCCTGAGATCCTCGTGCATCTTTGGAAGAGGACTTCCTCTCCTTTACAGATCGACGTTTGGAGGATTCAGCTCTGCTGTGATTAGAGGAGGACCGAGATGAAGACGACCTCCTTGACCTATCAGATGAAGACTTGTCAGAATTTCTAGAATGGCTTCTAGATCTTGGTGATGGAGACCTTCTCTTGGGTGACCGTGACCGTGAACGGCCCCTACGAGGGCTATAAGCTTGGCGGTAGTTTTGCCAGTTGGACCTGTAATTTCCATAGCCACCTCGATTATACTGGCCCCATGGGTAGAATCCTCTATTCCTTCCACGGAAGTAATATGGCCTCCGATACCCTCTATTATGCCCTCGGAAATCCCGATTCTGGTACACTCGTGGATGGTTTCTCTCCCTGTTGTGAGATGGAGAATATGACCTCGAACGGGACCTAGAACTAAGAAAAAGAAAAGGTATTTGAAACGACTATATCTAGTATTGCAGCATTCTGATTGAAAAATAATAATGTGCACCTTTTTGCGTGCATTACTCCCCTCTGCCCATCTTCAAGTTTGGTATATATCACAATGACATTTTCCCTCCTATACTCCAAGGGCATCCCAGGTAATGCAGATGGACAAAAGGTACTACTCCTGCTGAGACTGGAATTTACCTAGAAGACTGATGTTTGGGCACCTAGGCGTACACCTCCAAAACACCACCCCCAAAGCACTCACCTTCCAGAGATACTGCACCAGAAGACGAATCACACAGAACCCACCAGTATCTTAACCTATGCTAATTAGTGAAAGCCATCCTTCACAGATAAAACTTATGGTTATCACAAAAAAATGGGGTTTCAAGGGAAAGATCTCCCAACAAGAAAAAAATAGGTTTAAGACAGGAAACGGAGAGATCTAATCAAGCACTATTTTTGCTTCCTGAAAGGGAGGTAAACAGCCAAGAACTTTAGAACTTTCCATCAATAAAATAACTCCTTTTAAGACAGAAGAAATTTACCCCTAGTTTTTAGCAAAAGAAAGCAAGGCCAGAGCACACCCTACAAGAAGCATGGGCATAAATATCAAGCACACAAAGGGTATTCTGTACATGACAGCTACAAGATGAAGCTCCGTGGGAAAAATCTCTCTGGTGGAAAACAAGCTAACAATCTGAACAACACTATTAAATACCCCACTGACAGGGCAAGGATTAATTTCCATAGACTAAATACTACGAAGTGTTTTGCACAATACAGAAGAAACCTGATTAATTCAAATGGACCATTAATATGACTAGGTGTAAGATTTTAATCCTAAAGAGGAGCTAAATGGATCATATAAAAATGCAATTTGAGAGAATGGAATGGGAAAGAGGAGAGTTTCCATATGCTAAATAGATCCTTTTTAAAAATCTCAAACAAAAGCAAGCTTTAGAACAGTAAACGTAATGTTTGCAAGAACCAGAAATGGTTAGTACAAATCTGCACAAGAGAAGTTGCTGCCTTGTCTCCTGCACTAACGCAGTCTCTTTTGCTGAGAGGAAGAAAGGTAAGCAACTCACCTCAGGTACTGTTTCATTCGCAAACAGTTTCAGCAACCTAAGATGGAACAGACATGCATACAAGCCTGGTGCAGGTGGTGAAAATGAGCCAATTAAGATGTGTTCAGAAAGCACTAAACAGTATGTGCAAGAGCTGGTCCCCAGGTGGCTACTGTATTGCCTTACCAATTACTACCGAGGGACTTGCTCCTTCCAAAAGCCATTCTACCACTTTAGAGGCACAGAACTTGAAAAATTACCCTTCAAAAAACTGTGAAGACCTTTCATGAGAAATCATTTGAAAAGACACAGAACATGAAGTGTAGTGGACACTGCAGACAGGTGGAGACTGGGGTGCTTTTTTCCAAAGACTTCTGTTGGCCTATGTAGTTTTCAGCCACAACACTAACCTTGTATCTTAAGTTCACAAACCACGCACTGCGGATGGAATGAAAGAGACAGGCTACTTGCCAACTCCTACCCTCTCAGGATCTAACTAGGTTTGAAACAGAGTTAAGGGGAAGCTCCCAGAAAAGCCATTCTCAGTCTCCCAATCCAAGCACCTAAAAGCAACTGCTATTTCTTCCTGCTACAAAACCCACCTCTGCCAGGGTGCTAAGCTCATGCCAAATGATTTGTATGCACCAGTCTCTTCCATTTTGCTTCCTAGCCAAGACTCACAAAACCAAGGCCACACCCATAGCTGACCCTTGCCAGGGACATTTTGCACACCACGCTGACACTCCATTTACCACAGTTCCCCTGAACGCAGCTGGACATCCCCAACTTGTTGTAAAGAGATATCTTGTCTTTCAGCTCCTCTCCTCCATCTGGCTTTGTCTTCTCCTACAACTGCCCCCCTCCCATAGTATTTTGCTGTTTTTCTGTACCTTGTTCAAAAACCATGCAATATTAACAGTAGCTCTTGCGCTTCCAGCCCAGCAGAGTTCAGTCTTTCCCTTTCCCTTTACAGTTATTTCAGCTAAACAAAATGAGTGTTAATTTTTTAGAACCCTCAAATTGTAGTTAAAGTGTTCTTGAAAAGTAAACCAGCATCATAAATAGACATGTGAGGTTTCAATTTGCAAGATGTGCCAGAAAACTGCTCCATGGGGATTATAAAGAACAACTCGGCTAAGTGAATCCAGGTTTAAGGAATAACTGGAACCACATTAAAAATTAATTATTTCTCCCAAGTTTCAATAGCAAGGATATTCATGAGACACAGAAAATTCATATACCAGCTTCGCCATATCATTTTCTACTTTTATCAGAAGTGGAAGGATAAGGAATTTAGGTTAGATATGACAGCTCTGAACTTGAACACAGACTCCTCATCTGCTTACCGAAGCACAGGGCAAGAAATACCTGTCTAATATCCCTTCAGAGTAACTATTCACCTTGCTACTATAATTTACAGCATTCAACAGTCACAAGAATGCCAGAAACTGGCCAGCCACTCAGATCCCCTGCCGACAACCAAATCAAAAAGAAAGCCAACTACTGAAAAAACTTTCCCAAGGAATCTAAAATAGGAGGTAGGGTTAAAAAGCTACTCTTGACATGGCTGAGCAACAGCCATTTTGAGGGAAAGGTTATAAAAATAGAATGAGCTGGCAGACAACAAAAGCAGTAACTTGAGATGGCAGAATATTTAAAATAATCTGGAATCCAACAAGGGGCTTTCTACAGGACAGCTCCAGTTTGCGCACAAGTAAATGAAAGACCCTCAGAACACTATTAGATGCAACCAGCAGCACTTACCTGAGCCTGCGTTTCCTTGACCGTGAAAGAGACCGGGACCGAGACCGAGACTTTGAGAAAGACCTGGACCGAGACCGTGATCCAGATCTTGAACGAGAAGAACGAGATCCTGATTTTGATTTATTTGTTTTTGACATCTCTGCTACCTCCTTGGCTTAAGCCTGTCAACACAAAAGGAAAGATAAACAAAAAGGTCTATCACACTCAAGCTTCTTCACTTGGCTGTTCTAAGTTTAAGAACAGTACATTTATCTTCCCAAAAACAAAACAAAACAAATCCATTAACTATTTAAATAGAATGTTAATTTACTACTTGTGTGCTCTTTTACTACAGAAAAAATTCACTCTTCTTACTGCCCATATATGTAAAGCCATTTAGAGTCTAACCACAAAATGCGAGTTTGTCCAAGCTTCTTGAAGCCTTCCCATATGATTTGAAGAAACAGACACAAAATTCATGGTCTGCCACAGCTGAATCTTCCCCACATAGATGAATGTACACTTAAACGCTACCTCTAAGGATGAGGTATTGGCTCTGTGAAAAGCCCTGGTGCTGGTAAACCAAGTTATACACTTGTCATAATCAAGCAGCCACTAGGGACTCCTGTTGCAGCCAAAATAAAATCGGGAGTCCTTCCAAGTA